TCCCTGGGGGGTGACCGGGACAGAACGTGTCGTCCCCCCCCCACGCTCAAGGTCCGCCTGGTTAACCCCTTCTGCTCCTGCTCCCAGGCCGCCCGGGTGCTCGCCCCCCTCGTGCGCCCCGAGGGGTCCCCGCGGGCAGGAGAAGCATCGCCATTGCCCAAGTCTCAGCTCAACTGCCCAGGCCCTGGGACCTGCTGCCCTCTCCCCAAGGCTGCAGCACCAAGGAGCCCGGGAACCCAGACAGCGGCCGGACCGACCTCCCCCAGCTCTGCCCAGACCCCTCACCCAGGACGAGCCCGGCTGAACACACCCCAAAGCCTCACTTTCTCCCCTGAAAGCTGGAGTTAACCAACAGGCTGGTGTCCTGCACCAGCTGAGATGAATTTGGAAGCGCTCCGCTGAGCAAACTCACTATCCCAAACAATTCACCTGAAGGTGATGGAGTAGGTCAGAGCTTGGCAGCCTCTGCCTCTTGGTGCTTGGATATTTCAAGAAAGTCCAAAAAAACCCGTACACCCTCTCCCCACCTTCCACCCGGGAGCAGGGTGAGCCTTTCCAGGGGGATTTCCACCTCTGCCTGCCTGCGCAGTGGGTGGCAGAAGTGCAGCCTCTCGGCTTCACGGGCAGGAAAGGTTGGGGAGACTCGAGTCCCGGACTCACCTCCCGGGTGCAGACGTCCCCAGGGCACGTGCCCACTGCAAGGGAACCCGGGCTCCTGCCTACGAGCCAATTCCCCGTCTCCGTTACAGCCGCGCTAGCCTTTCCTGGGCAAGGCCAGCATTTCTGCAGGCTCTGGAGACAAAAACGTCTAATGCATGCAAACCTGCCCACCAAAGCACCCGGGCGCCGAGCCGGCAAATCTCGGCTCCAGCAAAGACCAAAGCCCGCAGATGGGTTCGGCCAGGTTCGCCGGGCATCAAGGTGACAAAGGCCTTGAAGCCCCCTAAGACCAGGAGCAGCCACGTCAGAGCCGCGAAGGGCTGCGGGAGTGGAGCGACGTGGCCAGGCCCTGCGGGCGGACGGGCAGGCCGG